CCGCCTCTCAGAAACAGTGACACCCTTGCTGAATGGAGTCCCCTGTTGGGTACAAGAAGCAGAGATCATTCCTGTGCCCTGGATTTGTGCCTTTTTGTGGGTGGGGACTCTGGCTTAGCTGCCAGCAGTGCTGCTGCAGCTCCCCCATGTGCTGGAGGAGGGGGAGTCTAGGCTCCTTTCACTGAACCAACATGGCATCATCATCTTACTTTTTGTAAATCAGTCCAAACTAGTTTTAATTTCTTGCTAGATTGTGATTTTACCCTTTTTCTCCTTTGTTCTCCATTTGCAAAGCAATAAAAAACATATACATAGGGGATTTCATCCCATTTCTCTTTCTTCTTACAAAACAAATCTAGCAGTAGCATGGGAAGCATGAGAGCCATGCAGTGGCCACCATTCTTCCCAATTCAGTGGGTATTAAGGTCAAGCTATGTTAAAAATAAGATAATCCTTTTTTGTATCACGGAATGATAGACAAAGGCCTTTCAATTTTGCAAGATGCAGCCCACCCAGGTTGCATTGTGAGTTACATGAGAACTAAGGGGCAGTCCTTAGTTCATCAGAACTAAGCAGCTGCTAGGGCTTGTCTCTGGGTCTGCCCCAGTGGCAGGGGGCACTAGGCCATGAGTAAATGCCCTCAAGGAGAGTGATGTCCACCTGGCTTGCCACAAACAGTTACAAGACTGTCAGATGTGCATGTCTGCTGCACAGCAACAGAACAATACACTGAGACAGTGGAGTTTGCAGCAGAGAAAGGGTTTAATAATCTCAAAGCCAGCAGCCCCCAGTGGGCTGCATGGAGGAACTGAATTAACATTTCCCATTCTGGCTGGAATAATATATACATAACAAAACACAGATACTAGTAGCCAGTATATGTCTGCTGTACTCATTCAAGTATATTTAAATTTTTCTGCTTATTTTCACAACATGGTTATGAGGAATTTAGATTTTATTAAATTGGAAAGTGCTGTGATTCACTGATAACTGACTGTACATT